AATATATATATTTATTCCACGTTTAAAGTGTCATGTTAAGGGGACAGGATAAATGTCTTCTTTTTTTTTCTTTTTTTTTTTTTTCCTCTTCTCTGCAAATTTACTAAATCTCCGGACTTGACCCAGTTATTTAAACAGATCAGGCCAAGCGCCCATAATTTAAGTAGATCCCACTGCATTTCCTATCCCTTTAAAATTCTTCTTCCCAATCCATTCTCTCACCAAACTGTTGCACCATTTTTGCTGTTTGCAAAGATCTTTCATTTCTCTCTCTCTCTCTCTCTCTCTTTCCTTTTCAGAGCAGATAGCTCACCACAATTAACAGAATCAGTAGCTCTATTCAACGCAGAGAGAGAAAAAAAAATGGGATCCTTTATTTGACTCCCAATTTTGCAAATTCTAAACTGTAAGGATAAGTACTTTTTTAAAAAAAAAAATTTTTCTCTGAGGCATACGCCGAATTGTTCACTATGGCTTCCGCCCTGGCCGGGGACGATCTAGCGAGGTCGATGAGCAGCAGGCGGAGTTGGACGGCGACGAGCTTCCGGGAAGTCTGGCAAGGACAACCACCGGAAGCCTTCATCAGGGGTGGACGGCAGCAGGATGAAGAGGAGCAGGTCCAGTGGGCTGCCATCGAGCGGCTACCGACGTATGATAGGTTGAGGAAGGGGATGCTTATCAGGCAGGTTCTCGACGACGGAAGAGTTATTCATGATGAAGTTGATGTCACAAAGCTTGGAATGCAAGATAAGAAGGTGCTGATGGACAGGATACTGAAGGTTGTTGAAGAAGATAACGAGCAATTTCTTCAGAAACTAAGGGGCAGGACTGATAGGTAAATTTATTTCCAAAAAAAAAAAAAGCAGTACGTGTTGTGTCAGTGCACTACTTAAATTAAATAAATACGTCTTCTTAACGTTACGAACTGTCGCCTGTCAACTAATTGGTGTCTTAACCCCAAAACAAGAGAATTCAATTAATATTTTGAGTCGTTTTTGGGTCATTAAGCTGGGGGAGGCATGTCAGGGAAGTCCCTGGCTGGCGCCTCCCCCAATTCAACGGAACATTTGGATTGCAGAAAACAATTTTATAAGTAATTCTTACCTGCTTTCAAAAAAATTTTATAAGTAATTCTTTCATTTTATTAATCTTTTAAAGATTATATTTATAAAAAAATATTAAACAGTTTAAATCACACCTACAACAAAAATAATTAAAAGAAAAGAGTTTATGATACCATCTCTCAAGTTTCATTTAATTATTCTTAGTTTACAGTAATGATTCGTTAATTATTATATAAAATTATGTGTAAAAGTAGTAAATTTCTTCTTATATCTGTTTGGGTGTAGGGTGGGGATTGAGATTCCGAAGATTGAAGTTCGATACGAGCATTTGTCAGTGGAGGGAGATGTGTATGTAGGAGGCAGGGCGCTTCCTACCCTGCTTAATGTTACTTTGAACACCATAGAGGTAGGGAAAATCATATTTACTTTACTCTCATCGTACCTGTTTTATGTTTGGGTATAGTGCAGGACAACTGCTGTTACCGCACACCTTAGGAAAAAAAAATAATATTTTGTGTACGGTGTATGTTGGAACTTGGAAGTGAAAGAAAGGAGACGATAACATTGAACATTATTCTCTTTTGTCATTTTTGTAGAATTTAGAAGACAAAGAATAGAACTTTTTTTGTTTTTTTGTGTGTTTTTCTGTTGAATGAAAAAAAAAAAGGTCTTGCCATCGGTACGACTTTTATTTTTCACTTTTTATTTTTAATTTTTTTATTTCTTGGTGGGAAATTTCCTCCTCTTCTTCTTCTGCTCCTTTTTTTTTTTTTTTTTTTTCCAATAGAGCATTCTGGGATTGATTCGGTTTTCACCCTCTAAGAAAAGAAAGATTCAGATACTTAAAGATGTCAGTGGAATAATTAGACCATCAAGGTAATTTTCTGAAATACTCAATGTTTTAATGTTTAATTTTCTTTTTATTGTCATTATTTTGAATGGTAAAATGAGACAATTCCATTTGATGAAATTGATAGTTTAATTTATTTCATTTCCAACATGGGGCATATATCATTTATGATTGGATTTTGAAAATTTCAGGATGACCCTACTGCTTGGTCCTCCAGGTGCAGGAAAAACAACGTTATTGCTGGCACTTGCTGGAAAGCTGGATCGCAATCTGAGGGTTCGTTTCTTTTTTTCTTTTTTCTTTTTTCTTTTTTTTTTTTTGTTTTAAATTTTTTATTTTTAAAATTGATATTTACAATCAGGTGTCTTGAGCCAACTTTTGTGCACCTATATTGACTTGATATATTTAAAGATATTAATTTTTATCAGTGAATTCAACCACTTGGGATTGTGTGTTTCCAATAAGGTTACTATATCTTAGTGTTATAGTTTGAATAACCTGTTGCGAGTATAAATTATTTAAAATGTTTTCTTGTAATAACCTGGAGTTTGTGTGTGCAGGAGTCCGGGAGAGTCACGTATTGTGGACATGAATTGACTGAGTTTGTTCCACGAAGGACCTGTGCTTATATTAGTCAACACGACCTTCACTATGGTGAAATGACAGTAAGGGAGACATTTGATTTCTCAGGACGATGTTTAGGTGTTGGCACCAGATATGAGTTGCTGGCAGAGCTCTCAAGACGAGAGAAAGAAGCAGAGATTAAGCCAGACCCAGAGATTGATGCCTTCATGAAGGCCACAGCAGTGGCAGGCCAGGAAACTAGCTTGGTCACAGATTATGTTCTCAAGGTTGGTTTGCGTAAGCCCTGGAAAGGTTTACATGAACCTTTTTATTTGTCTATTTAAGAGGTTAGTTCATGAAAACTGACATTTAAGGATATTTAACAGATTCTTGGATTGGACATTTGTGCGGATATTATGGTTGGAGATGCAATGCGAAGGGGTATTTCTGGTGGGCAAAAAAAGCGTGTGACAGCAGGTATGTTTTATATGTTACTAATATTGCTGTTTTCTTACAGTTCTATAGATTTATTTCTTTCATATTATCTAAGTCACTCTTTGCTGAAATTCCAGATTCATTGACCTTTTAACATAGATTCATGTCCCGAAAATGTAGCTTCTCTCTGTACTCTTTTATTTTCCAGGATTCTGATTTTTATTCAAATGTCAATTACATATTTTGGTGGATGCTTCTTTGGAGTCTTTATCGTTTACTTCTTTGTCTAACGTCTGGCCATGCTTTTTGCATTAGTTTCATATGTACTTATTCTCTAACTTACTGGAAGAAGTGTATTCCCATGTATGTTTTCTTAGTATTTCGTTTCTCTTCTTCCTTTGTTCTTTTCCTGTCTTCCATATAGGTTGCATATAGAAGCATATATGAGAAAACATTGTCAGTCTATAGCTTTTTGTTTTATTTGGGTGCAGGAGAGATGTTGGTTGGGCCAGCAAAGGTTTTCTTTATGGATGAAATATCAACAGGGTTGGACAGTTCTACCACTTTCCAGATTTGTAGATTCATGAGGCAAATGGTTCATATCATGGATGTAACAATGGTTATTTCGTTATTACAGCCAGCACCGGAGACATTTGATCTTTTCGATGACATTATCCTACTTTCGGAAGGTCAGATTATCTACCAGGGTCCACGTGAAAAAGTCCAAGAGTTCTTTGAATCCATGGGCTTCAAATGCCCTGAAAGGAAGGGAGTTGCTGACTTTCTGCAAGAAGTAACTTCAAAGAAGGACCAAGAGCAATATTGGTTCAACAAGAACCAACCTTATAGATATATTTCAGTTCCTGAATTTGTGCAGGGCTTCGACTCTTTCCACACTGGCCAACAGCTTACATCAGATCTTAGAGTTCCTTATGATAAATCCAAAACACACCCTGCTGCATTAGTCACAGAAAAATATGGCATTTCAAATTGGGAGCTGTTCAGAGCATGTTTTTCGAGGGAGTGGTTATTAATGAAGCGCAACTCTTTTGTGTATATATTCAAGACTACCCAGATAACAATAATGTCAATTATTGCCTTCACTGTGTTTTTGAGAACACAAATGCCAGTGGGCAAAATAGCAGATGGACAAAAATTTTTTGGAGCTCTCTTTTTCAGTCTGATCAATGTCATGTTTAATGGGGTGGCAGAACTTGCAATGACTGTTTTCAGGCTTCCTGTCTTCTATAAACAGAGGGATTTATTGTTCTATCCTGCTTGGGCTTTTGGCTTACCTATATGGATTCTTAGGATTCCACTGTCACTTATGGAATCAGCGATATGGATTGTTCTTACATACTACACTATTGGTTTTGCTCCTGCTGCTAGCAGGTAAAGGCAATCAGATAACTTCAATTCTGAAGTTTCTTTAAGCATCAAATTATTTGGAAACTCAGTAGCTTTTGAATTTATAAATTTATATTTCTATCATACCAGTTTAATTTGAGGATGTCACAGTCATTATGTTTTCTTTGACCAAACTCTTGTTCTCCTTCCAGGTTCTTCCGACAGTTTTTGGCCTTCTTTGGCATACATCAGATGGCTTTGTCACTCTTTCGGTTCGTTGCTGCAGTGGGAAGAACAGAAGTTCTTGCGAACATGCTCGGTACCTTCACCTTGCTCATTGTTTTCACACTTGGAGGTTTCATTGTTGCCAAGAGTAAGTGGTTAAGCATCTTGACATTCTTAATGAATGATATTAACGACTACTAGATACTAGCTTCAGTTTTGATTACTCTTTTTTCAATTTTTTAGCTTACATAGTTGCTTCAGCCAAGCATTCTGACTCTTTTTGTCCTTGTAGATGACCTTGAGCCATGGATGAAATGGGGATACTATGTTTCTCCTATGATGTATGGACAAAATGCCATAGTCATGAATGAATTTCTTGATAAAAGATGGAGTGCGGTAAGATCTCTTAAAGTTTGATAGTCTTACATTCGTTAATTCAAGTTTCATCTATAGCATGGAGACATTTGCATATGAAAGGTCTTGATTTTTTTTCTTCTGAAAATTATATATAAACTCTCATTAGACATTTATTATTTTCTTGACCATAAGCCATGCATCAGTTTCTTACAAACATAACTTTTGTCCAATGCAGGGCAATACAGACTCCAGATATAAGGCATCTACTGTTGGAAAAGTTCTTCTGGAGACCAGAGGCTTTTTTACACAAGATTATTGGTTTTGGATCTGTGTTGGAGCATTATTTGCATTTTCCCTTCTCTTTAACATTTTATTTATTGCAGCACTGACTTTCTTGAATCGTGAGTTACATCTCCCACCTGCATTTATGCTTTGTTCTTTTTTAAATGAATTTTTGTGTTGATTAAACCCTTTTACATGGATTGGTTTCCAGCTCTGGGTGATTCCAAAGGAGCTGTTGTGAATGATGATGATAACAAAAATAAGAAGTCATCTTCAAATGGAAAAGAAGGTATTAAGCCCTTGCATTTGTCTTCCTTGCTTTTTCTTTTCTTTTTTTTTTTTTTTTTTTTCCCTTTTCCTATTGGTCAGGGTTAATCCTTTTCTCTCTCAGAGGGAGATATTATTGCAAACATGTTATGAAAAACTATGAAATCTGTATCCTAGCATATAAACAACTCTTTTTAGAAGAACTTGTAAAGAAAATCAAGCCCTATTGCATCTCCTTTAAACACCGCACTTTTGTGAACAATTTCAGGGATTGAATTGCCAGTGAGAAGTTCTACAGAAACTGTTAATGCAACAGATCATGCACCAAAAAGAGGAATGATTTTACCTTTCCAACCACTTTCACTTGCATTCAACCATGTCAACTACCATGTAGATATGCCTGCTGTAAGTTATTTGTAAACACTTCATTTCAACTGAGAACTTTTATTGTTGGGTGCACAAAGCCAAAAATTGAGGTGCGAAATATGAGTTATACCAGGAAATGAAGAGGCAAGGTGCTGAAGAAGACCGTCTTCAACTGCTACAAGACGTTAGTGGTGCTTTCAGACCAGGGATATTGACAGCACTAGTGGGTGTTAGTGGTGCTGGGAAGACAACCTTGATGGATGTTTTAGCAGGAAGAAAAACAGGTGGTTACACTGAAGGAAGTATTAGCATCTCTGGTTACCCAAAGAACCAAGCTACATTTGCTCGTGTGAGCGGTTACTGTGAACAGAATGACATTCATTCACCCCATGTCACTGTCTATGAATCCATACTGTACTCAGCCTGGCTCCGTCTTTCTTCTGACATAGACTCTAGGACTAGAAAGGTATTTTTGATAAATTTTAATATTTTGGTGTCCTTTTCTTAGTACGAAAATTTGTACTATTGCTTACTGTTTCAGTATGATTTTTCTTTGCCCCATATAGGTGTTTGTTGAAGAAGTTATGGAGTTGGTTGAGCTCAACCGAATAAGAGATGCCCTAGTTGGCCTTCCAGGAGTAGACGGTCTTTCAACGGAACAGAGGAAGAGGTTGACAATAGCTGTAGAGTTGGTTGCTAACCCCTCAATCATCTTTATGGATGAGCCAACATCTGGACTCGACGCCAGAGCTGCTGCCATTGTCATGCGAACGGTGAGAAATACTGTGGATACAGGGAGAACTGTTGTGTGCACAATTCACCAGCCCAGCATAGACATCTTTGAAGCTTTTGATGAAGTATGGCTCAATCTACCTAAATTGATTTTCTCCACATAATATTGGGAGTAGCAACTCATTTTCTCCAATCTCTTTGGTGATTCATATTACGTGTATTTAATTCTAATTTAACCGTTGTAGTTACTTTTGATGAAAAGAGGAGGACAAGTCATTTATGCAGGACCTCTTGGTCGCCACTCTCACAAACTCATAGAATATTTTGAGGTGAGCATTTTGTTTCCAAATATTTAACTTCCAGTCACTGCAGTATGTAGTAAAATACATGTTCTACTCCAGGCTGTACCAGGGGTTGCGAAGATCAATGAGGGATATAATCCAGCGACGTGGATGCTTGAGGTTACTTCTCCAGCAGTTGAGGCTCAGCTGAAAGTGAATTTTGCAGAAATTTATGCCAATTCCCCTCTTTATCAGTAAGCGCGCACCTTACGCCATCCTTTTTCCTCAAGTCGCCAAGCATTTTTCAGTTTCCATTGTTCTTATTAATTTCTTTGTTTCCAAACTTCCAGGAAGAACCAAGAACTAATCAATACTCTCAGTACTCCAGCTCCTGGCTCCGAGGATCTTTACTTCCCAACCAAATATTCTCAACCATTCCATAGCCAGTGCAGGGCTTGTTTCTGGAAACAGCACTGGTCTTATTGGAGGAACCCTCAATATAATGCTGTCCGCTTCTTCAGTACAATAGTCATCGGCATCTTTTTTGGCCTAATCTTCTGGAAGAAAGGGAAAAAGATGTAAGTCTTAATTCTATTTTACTAATTAAATACAATTTTTATCTTTGATAATTGCATATTTTGCTTGAAAATCTGCTTACCTCTTAATGTAGTATCAGCCCTTAAGTTGTTTTTCCTACTGCTGACTGAAGATTTGGCATCTGTATCAATTGTCAACAGATCAAAACAACAAGATCTGACAAATCTTCTTGGGGCAATGTATTCTGCTGTGCTTTTCCTTGGAGCTTGCAATGCCTCTGCAGTGCAACCTATTGTCGCAATTGAGAGAACAGTCTTCTACCGTGAAAGAGCAGCTGGCATGTATTCTGCGCTGCCTTATGCATTCGCACAGGTGAAAGATTGTGTCTAAAATGATTTACTCGTTGACATAATGTATATCTGCATTGTTGAGAAAGTAGTTTAAAATCAAAGGAATCAATCCATTTGAACACTAAACGCTTGACTTTCAAATTTTCCTTGTTCTCCAGGTTGCCATAGAGACCATCTACAATGCAATTCAAACTAGCTTCTACACTCTGCTTCTATACTCGATGATCGGGTTTGAGTGGAAGGCAGTGAAATTCTTCTGGTTCTTCTACTTAATATTCGCCTGTTTCGTTTACTTCACATTGTATGGGATGATGGTTGTTGCATTGACTCCTGGCCACCAAATTGCTGCCATTGTCATGTCCTTCTTCCTTAGCTTCTGGAACTTGTTTTCTGGTTTTATGATTCCCAGAATGGTAAGTGATGTTGAACTCACTATTAATTATGTCCTACAGATGCTTACAATCTATTTTGTCTGAACACACCGCCTGAATTAATTTGTTCTGTTTGTCCATCCAATGCAGCAAATCCCAATATGGTGGAGGTGGTACTATTGGGCATCTCCTGTGGCATGGACAGTGTATGGCCTTGTAACCTCTCAACTCGGCGATGAAAGCGCTACTGTTGAGATACCAGGAGCTGCTAATGTCTCTCTAAAAATATTGCTCAAGCAAGGCTTGGGATTCGAGTATGATTTTCTTCCGGCTGTTGGAGTGGCTCATGTTGGTTTTTGTCTGCTCTTCGTCTTCGTTTTTGCTTATGGCATCAAGTTCCTCAACTTCCAAAGGAGATAGATTTTAGGACTACCTATACATTATTTTAGAAACCAACATGTACTTAGATTTAAGTTTTTCTTTTTAAGTCATTTTTTTAAAA